CCTCTATAAACTGGCTGTGAACAGCTTCTACCGCACGGGCTGTGTGCAGCATTAATTAAATACTATGCATGAGGTACCACACACAATGCTTCTAGTAAATATTTACTATTCCAATAAATATTTTTTAAAGTATTTATTTCCCATCTCTGTTGTTGTTGTTGTTAATCCTCACCTGAGGATATTTTTTCCATTGATTTTTAGAGAGAGTGGAACAGAGCAAGGGGGGGGGAGGAGAGAGAGAGAAACATCCACGTGAGAGAGAGAGAGAGACACATGGATTAGTTGCCTCGCACCCGCGCCCCAACCAGGGCCAGGGATTGAACCTGCAATCCAGGTACGTGTTCTTGACCGGGAATCGAACCCAAGACCCTACAGCGACCCGGTGCTCTAACCATTGAGCTATACGGGCCAGGACAAGCTCAGTTCCTCCTCCGTTGGGAGCTGTGCTGGGTCAGAGGCAGGAAGCAGTGACAGGTGGCTCGGCGCCCAGGGGAGAAAGACCTGCCGCGGGGGGATGCTGGGACGCAGGCTAATCGGCTTCAGCCACGTGGTCGCTCACTGTCCGCGGATCCCCCAGCGCTGGTCAGAGCCACGCGGAGGCTGCAGGCAATAGGAGGGCGCCGTGGCCCCTGCCCTCTCCAGTCTGTCCATCTGTCTGAGGCTCCCTCGGCATTAACATTCTCTCTCTCCCGTCCTCAGTGGAACGAATTCAGACGTGGAGGCGTTGCAAACAGGACAATGAATAAACCCGCCACGTCCCCATGGGAACTCGGCCGGGCGACAGGGTGGCCTTATCTCCCAGCAGCAGGCGTCCCCGGGCGGCGGCCGTGCCTGCCAACCCGTCTGCCCCTCGGCAGCTGGACGTGCGCGTGGGTGCGCCTTTGTGGAAAGTGGGGACATTTATGCAAATTGGCCCCGGTCCTGCCAGAAGATGGCCTTGGCCGTGGAAGGCTCTACTCTTTCCTCGGTGCAGAAACGGGAAGTGAATTGTCTTCTGGACCCAAACTGTCTGCCCAGGCGTCGTGACTGAGGGCGCCCATCCCTTGGGCATCTAGTCCTCTCTCCTCAGCCCTCTGAGCCCAGGCTCTGTAGTTATGCGAATGTTGGGGGGTAGGGGGGGCGGTGCGGGGTTCAGAGAGGTGTCGCAATAGTGCTGTCTTGTGGACATTCTGAGAACAGCGCCCTAGAAAGGAATTCTGCAAGTTGCAATCGTCTTGCTTTTTGCTTTACTCCTTCTAAGCGTCCAACCCTCCCTCCATCCCGCTAACAACAGTCATTCCCCGATCGCCTAAGCCCTTCCCTCCCTTCCCTCCCACTCGGGTGCGTAATCAGCCCCTTCCTTACCTCTGCCTTGAGCTGCAGTGACCTCAGTAAGTTACCCTCTAGGGCAGTTCTGCACTGCCACCAAGTATATACTTAACAGCATCCTGGTGATAACATGGCACTCATAGTGATGGTGTCACTGTGGAGGATGTCTACCATTCTTGTGTACATTTTTTAAAATATAACTATTGGTTTCAGAGAGGAAGGCAGAGGGAGAGAGAGAGAGAAACATCCATGATGAGAGAGAATCATGGATCGGCTGCCTCCTGCACGCCCCACACTGGGGATGGAGCCCACAACCTGGGCCTGTGCCCTGACCGGGAATCAAACCCGTGACCTCCTGGTTCGTAGGTCGATGCTCAACCACTGAGCCACGCCGGCCGGGATCTTGTGTGCATGTTCTGGGCACTGAGAGGAAAGGCTGTGCGAGCCCCTGCCACGCCCCCGAGCCCCGGATGTTCAGTGGAACACGAACGCTATTCCCAAATTAAAGTGGAGAGACACGGAGGAGTGTGTGCTAGGACAGGGCAGCGTGGAGGGGGCACCGCAGGGACAACGGCCTGGGGTCAGGGAGTCTGAGAAACCAGGACAATTCCCTCCAAGTTCGGATGAGCACGTGGACTCACACACGCTCTGCTCTCCGGCTCCGGAGAAGCCGGGAGGCCTGGGGCAGAAGGTGGGGACTCGACCTGCTCCCCTGCCTTCGGGACGCACAACAGGAGGCGGCGGCCCGCCAGGCCCCGCGAGGCCACATGGTCACTCCTGAAATATTGACAGAATGGCTGCTGTATGTACCAACTTTATAAAACTCAGGAATCTCGTTTTTAATCCTCACCTGAAGATATGTTTATTGATTTTTAAAGGGGCGGTGGGGGGGATGGGAGAGAACCATTGGTGTGAGAGAAACATTGATTGGTTGCCATCGTACACGCCGGACCACAACCTTTTGGTGCATGGATGACGCTCAGACCAACGCTGCTCCCCAGCGAGGGCTGTTTTTTAAGATGCAGATGATAATAGTACCCGATTCCTAGGTCATCGTGAGCATTAAGTAAAGTGACTCATGCAAACTGCCTCCACTGTGTCTGCATGTGGCCGATGCCAAAAAGTGGTCATTACAATTCCATGCTCCAGAGTGGTCATCCCAGGGTCAAAATGCACAAATTAATCTCTTCCCCTGCACGCCGTCTGCTTCGTAGAATAGCCTTTCCCTGCGCTCAGGTCGCCAGGGCAGGCTCTAATTCTGCGTCTCATTTGTTTTTAATTTCGCCCAGGGCGTCATCGACGTGAAATAAATATTTATTAAAAGCAGCGGATTTAAGTAGCACTGCTTGTGCGCGCGGTTTGCATTCATATATTCTCCTCTGCTTTTCGCCAGGCCCCCGCGGGGAGGCCGCGCTCATGGTGCCGTCATAGTTCAATTAGTAGAGTTTCCATATTTTATTTTTCTTTTGTGGCCAAAAGGAGATGGCTCCTGAGGCACCAGAGGTTTTGGGGGTTTTTGGTTTTAAATGCCTAAAATGGCAATTTAGGAATCTTACCGTGCAGACCCGGGGGGATGAGAGGAGGGCTCCTTCGCAGGCAGCACGGGGCACTGAGCCCATCGGCCTCCAAAGCAGGGGTGTGGGGTCCCCCGAAGCGCTGCAGGGCTCCGTGGGGGGCTTCGGGGGCCACCCCGAGGACCGGATTGAACCTGTCTGTGTGGTGATCGCGAACGGGTTGACTCATCGAGTTTACGTGTGCTGTTGGCAGCGGGCTTCTCCCAGCCTCCTTTAAAGTGGACTTCGTCATAGAGGGTCACCTGCCTACTGCTTCCTGGGCACGGCGTGCTCCCAGGTGGAAACCACAGAGAGAGAGAGAGAGAGAGAGAGAGAGAGAGAGAGAGAGAGAGTAGGACTGGGCCACAGAACCGTATCAGCAGCCTGCAGCCCCCCCAATGCAGACCCCAGACTCCACACACAGGCTCCGTCTCCCCGCCCTCAGGTCTGCCTCAAGGAGCTCGGACAAAAAGCCAACCCAGGCTGCTTTCCCCACCAAGGTCAAATCAAAGTCACCTTGTGAGCGTGACTTTGCCGTGTGCCCCTGGGAGGACACACAGGAGACATGTACTGTGTTAACATAAGGAACATTCAAACCCGTAAAGAACTGGTGAGTCTATTTGAGCCAAACTGTCCACAATTGGCAGGAAGCAGAATCTCCATGCATCGAGACAATGCTCCAGAGAATGGCGGTTTTATTTAATTTCTTTTTATAAATTGCCCTCCAAGGAGGAGGCCTAAATGAGTTACATGAAATCCACTGGCGACAGATTAGGGAGGCGGGAGAAAGCTAAGGGGGGGAGTGCGGGGGGCTAGAACCTCTGGGATTGGATAAAAAGTAAAATGATAGACACATGCTTCTTTGACACAGGTGGGCATAGGATAGCGAACAGCCAACAATTAACAGTGAGGGCGTTTGTGGTCTCTGCCCTGATGCCATCTGTTGGACCCTGAGGGGTCTGGGAAAAGGGAAGTTACACGTTACCCCGACATTCCACAGGTGTGTTTGCAAAAAGACGGTAGGCTCTAAATAAAGATCGAAGTTGATCTTTGCCAGGAAAGATACCGGCCAGGACACAACTGCCCTCATAAACTGCTCTTTAGTGAAAAGGCTTTCCATTTCAGGGCCCCCCTGTGGGATTTCCTGTAGGTTCCCTGAGTTTGCAAGGCCCGCCACTGCGCCAGCATCCCAGCATCTGGCGGACAGACAGGCCTCCGAACTCCCGTCTGGGCGAAGCAGCCCCACCGAGAGCCCAGTGTTCTCAGGGCAAGATCGAGTTGGCCCGCGTTCCAGCTCGACCATGGTTTGACCTGGTGATCCTGGCTTCTCACACCCGCTTCCCTCAGACGGCCCCCCGCCCTTGCTTGGTGTTAGAGGGCGCGTTATTCGACCTCTATCTGCCCCAGATCCTGGGAATTGGGGGCGAACGCCCACCTTACTCGGTCTTCACGAGACTTGGGTGTGTCGCCAAGCATCTGGGGTGGTTCCGGTTCCCATCTAGTGCCCCTGTCAGTGAAGTGAATATTGTCCCCTGCTCAGCGGTGTGAAGGGGGCCTGGTTTGACCACAAAGCAGCTGTTTAAGAGCCAAGATGAATACGGTGCCGAAAGGCCAGGCAACCAAGAGTTCCCTCTTGCCGAGGAATGGGGACACCTGGTCTACCAGGTGCCCTGCAGGGCTGCCTGGGGAGAAGGGGAGACTGCCCTGAGCGTGACCCACAGCACGCGCTCCCACGGAGCTCCGGGAGCGGGAGGTTCGTCTTAAGAAAGTGTCTCCCGCCGTGGCTCCCACAGACCCGCTCTGCCCCAGTGCGGCCGTGGGAAGAGTTTCATTGTGCGCATCTCTGCTCAGTCTGAGATGCTTAGTTCTGTGAACACCGAGCCATCAGCTAACCATGAAACTACTGAAAGGGTGTTGCCTTCAGAAGGGAGAAGGTCTGGGGTGGGAGGTTAGGGTGCCACGGTTTGTATTCTGTCCGTGGGTAAAACACACACCCACTTCCTTGCCCTCAAGCTGGAAAGGAGAAATGCCAACCGCAGACAGGCAACGAGCTACCCAAAGAGACCAGCCTTGCCAATGAGACGCGGGCACGGGCTGCTGGTGAAATCTCGGTTTATTAGTGCGTTTGGTCTGAGGAATTCAGCTCCATTTCTTGACAGCCAGGTAGGTCAGGCCCAAGACTCCCACAACGACGGTCCCGGAGAGGCCGGCCACCCACAGGGCCCCGGAGTCTCCTGCAGCACCTGGCGGAGGGGAGGGGAGGTGAGGGTGGTGACCTGGGGTGAGGGAGGGGAAGGGAAGTGGGGGTGAGGGAGGGGAAGCTGTGGTCTGCCCCCTGGTCCAGGTGGGCCCTTAAGTCTTCCACTCACTTGAGTATTTAGGAAGCTTTCCGGAAGGGCCCTCCGTGGCCTGGAGCAGGATCATGGGGCCCTGGCTTGAGATGAAGGCGGTGCTGTTGGGATCATGGGCGTCAGAGCTTCTCCTTCCTGTCGGAGGGAGGTGGGGGGGGAGTTTTTAGGGTTTTGCTCACGGGGTTGTGGGGGGGTCAGGGAGTGAGAGTCCGGTGTGAGGCAGGGCTCCTCAACATGGACAGCTCTGCTCTGGCCTGAAGAAAACCATGTGAAGTCTCACACACTAAACCTCCTATGAGCAGGTCTTACACCTCCTATTAGGACGTTAATAGGAATCTGAGCGAGACAGGCTTCATGTAGCGCCGTTACCTCATTGCACCAGAATGGGGGCCTCCAGGTCATGTCAGACTGCCTGTCCTGCCCTTCTTTCCTGAACAGTAACTTAGACAATAAATAGGCTATGAACACCGCGATACAAAGGTAACTGGCGATCGGTTCACAGAGCAGAGCTTTGTTTGAATTCCACATCTTTCGCCAGCGACGGGGCCTTGGACAAGTTGGTTCTAGTTCTCGGGAGGGATGTGGATGCGGGATCATTGGAGTTAGACATGCGATACTTAACAGGTTTGTGTGTGTTTGTGTGTTTGTACCAGAGAGCCTTAGAGCTTCAGGGGACAT